TGAATAAATAAACCGCAGCAGCCGTTAGCGCATCAATAATCATTTTAATAAATTCGTCCGCACATTGGCCTGAACCGAAGCAAACTGAACGACCTTCCAACGTATGGACGCGATCACAATTTCTTGGCCCATAACTCTGCCAACACATTCGCCAGTGTGTTGGCCAACGTGAAGAGCCGCCGTAATGATGATGCCAAAGTTCTCTAAACACTGTCGCCAATTGTCTTGACGTAATTCTAGTTGAAAAAAATATACATTAATGTAAATTGAACCTTAAGTGCATTGCTTAAAGCTGTATTCACAAAGCTACGTACAAATTAAAAACGCACCCAAATGTTCCAGTGGGCGCTCATTCGGTAAGGACATTTTTTGTCACTGAATATGTATCTAGTTTTTTATTAGTGATCGATGCTTAAATTGAATAAAAATAGCATAATCTTGGGAAATTAATAATATACCACCTTCATATTCTAAATCCGCTTCAAGATACTCCACATCCGGCTCCTCAAGCTGCTGTTGTATTTCCATGTTTGTTTCAGCTTTTACAGGACTTTGATAAACTAATACTGTAATATTTAAAAAAATAATATAATAATAATAATGTCATCCAGACCGAATTTCGGTCACGGCAGCCTCAACAGAGACTTGCAAGTTCAGTACTAACCGCGCGCTCGGAAGTATACGGTCGTTTACCTACATAATATTATATCGAATGTCAGAGTTAATGTCCGGTTGACTGTATTAGATGACATAATATTTATAATAAACCCAACGACTATATAATAATTTTGAACTAATAATTTATGAATAATCTAATCTAATCCAATGTAATCAATATTATTTATGATGAATAATTTCATCTAATAATTTAATCTATTATGAATAATGTAATCAATGAACTATTAATTATATTTGACATTTGTATGCCCATGAGGCTGATAACAGTAAAGTAAAGTTAACTGTAAAGTTGCAGCCTATATACGTCCCACTACTGGGCACATGCCTCGTCTCATTTCTGAAAGGGTTTTAGGGCAAGGAAATGTCCGCCGCGCTGCCCCAATGCGTGTTGGCGAACTTCACATGTCTTCGAGATATTTTTTTTTTCTCAGACATGCAGGTTTCCTCACGATAATTTCCTTCACCGCCGAGCACGTGGTAAATCAGCACTTAAAATTGCAATTAACAATTTCATTGGTGCCGGCGGGGTTCGAACCCGGGTTACTCGCGTACTGTGAAAATTACAGCGAGCGCTAACCATCTGAGCTACCACAGCTGATTACAGACTGAACATTATTTATGTTTAAATAAGACCTTTTTGTAAACTGTGAATCACAAATAAACTATTTGTTTGATTTGTGTGTATAAACTAAAGTATTGAACATTTAGCTTTTATATGATTATATTTATATGTATAGTCACGTTGTGTAGTGCTGTAAAAAAAAAATGGAAGCGGGCTTTGAAAAAAGACAGTCAGATGATCTGTCAAAAGTGGATATTTTTATGGTTGCGCAGTATTTTTCAGAAAATTATGATTTTTTATCATCAGAAATGCGTGGAATAAAGCCTTAAAGGTAAGTTATCGACCTCGACGAAAACCGTATTGGCGGTCACTAATCAGCTGGTGATCCTCAAGGTACCGCATGAGGTGGCAGTTTATAACGGATTCCATTATTTTGGAGAACAAGGGGGTGATGGCGATAGGCCTGTAGTTGGACGGGTCTGAGCGGTCGCTTTTTTTAGGGATCGGGTGGACAAAATCTGTCTTCCATGAATACGCCTTGAGAGTAGGAGTACCGGAAAAGACGCGTTAAAACCGGTGCCAACTCCGGAGCACACGTCCTCAGCACAATTGGGGGGATTACGTCAGGCCCACTCGACTTGTGGATGTCAAGGGAGAGGAGTGCTCTGCGAACCGAGCGCTGTGAGAACCGCACATCCGGCATGGAGCACTCACACCGCGGGATGGTCAGCGGTGTTTTCCCCCCGTCATCAACAGTCGAGTTGGACGCAAAAAGGGAGCCTAAAAGGTCGGCTTTCTCTTTTGCGGCGTGGGACAGTGAGTCGTCCTCCCTGTGCAGAGATGGTAGTGATGGCTTACAGAAATTCCCTTGGACAGCCTTGGCGAGAGACCAGAATGCACGGGTTCCCGAAGGAAGGCGAACTAGTTTCTCGCCAATTCTGCTTATGTGCTCTGACTTTGCCTTGGCAATAACTCTTTTGAAGGACCTGGAGGCGAATTTATACTTCTTTTTAAGTATGCTGGTGTTTACATCCCGAGTCGCCAAAGCCGCAGCCCAGGCTTGATAACACTCCTGCTTACTGCGTAATGCAGTCTTACAGGAGCGACCAAACCAAGGCTGAGATCTGCCTCCGATGGGTACCACAGATGATGGAATAAATAGTTCCATTCCCTGTAGCACCACATCAGTGACAGAGTCAGCAACAGCGCTGGGATCATCCGGCGAGATGCAAACCCCCCATGGGTAGGAAGCAAAGAAAGACCGTATTCCGTCCCAATCCGCCGACCTGTAATGCCACACACGGCGGCAACCTGCAGAACGCAACCGCGAGGGGAGCGTGAGTGGCACCACACTCCGGATCAGACAATGGTCCGAAGAGCCATGAGGGGTATCGACGGAAACCTGATATCCGTCCGGATAAGAGGTCAGCAGAAGGTCCAACAGGGAAGGTGTATGATCCTCAACATCTGGAATCCGCGTAGGCGATGTAACCAGTTGAGTCAGACCATATGCCAAGGCAAAGTCATGAACAGATCTCCCAGCATGATCGGTTAAACTTGACTAAAAAGATTACGAAAAGTATACAACTTTACCATTGATTAGTAATTAGGCAGTAATACATAAGTAGGTATTGATTGACTGAACCACGAAGATGCACATGATTTACAACAACATAAAATGAAAAAGCTTACTTAAACTTACTAATGCACTGAGTATTAATTGACTCGTATTGTTATTTAGTACCTAGTGACATGTGAAGAAATTTTGTTGGTTACGTAGTTTGTCAGTGGATGCAAACATATGGTCCTAGTTTTACTTTGACATACTTTAGAATAAACTGATTGCGGTATTACGTTGGTAGTTGGTACCTATTCTGTTTTGAAAATGCAATGGTCGCAAACATTCAATGCGTGTAATACTTAACTGATTTTGATGAAATTTACAGGAAATCTACAGGATTTTATCTTCTCATATCGGACTTTTATTCCCAAGGATATAAAAGATTAAAAAAAAACAGAAAATAAAGGTTACTGATAAATAAATAACATGACAAGAAAAATATGGAGTAATAAATATGGAGAGAATAAAAAAAATATAACAATAAAGACTACTGGTGGCTTCGACGTGTCGATTTGTGACGTCACATCGCGATGCGGAGCTAAGCGGTTGCCCTTGCCGTAAAACACCACTTTACTCATCAATATTTCAGTCATTTTTAAAGGTAGAAAAAAAAATAAGAATACCGTTGAATTCGTAATTTTTTTACAATTTTTTGATACCCTTAACAAAATTGGGTGGCCAGACCCATTATACTTGTGCATACAAACGGGCCACTGTGATAGAAATACGGTCTGGCACACATTATTATATCCATCTAATTTTTTTTTAAATATGACAAAGGTGACAAACGAGCACACAGTCCACCTGATGGAAAGAGGTTGCTGTGGCCCATAGACATTTACATCTATCTTCGATTACGAATAAAAATGCAGATGCGTTGTCAACCGTAACGGCTAAGATGGAATGCCTCATTTCCAGTAAACAGGGTCTCCGGTTCTCTACACTCACCATAAGAAACACAGCAGCGTTAAGCTGCTATTTTACGCTGGTATTCTGAGATGGTGTGGTCCTTCCCTGGTCAAGCCGACCCATTCGTGCTACAACCATAATATAGCTGCAGCATGGCTCTACCACATATAATCTAAATAATATTATCATCTTTTCACAATAGCTTTGTATTTAAAAATATATTAGAAGTTTCACTAATGAAAATGAACTTGTAACTTGACAGCTGGCAACCGCAGTTTTTTATTTCTAGTCGTTATGAGGAAGATGCTGCTGCCCATCTCCTAATTTGCTTCCCTCTGTCGCTTCTTACGACACCCACGGAATGATATGGGGTAGTGGATATTCTTACACTGACCCTACACGGTAAATATTAGTAAAAATTTCATTTTCCCTTACCAGCCATTTACAAAGCAAAAAGTGCACAAAAATACTGGAAAAATACTTTTTTTTAGAAAAAAATACTGGTTGGAGAAATTACAAACGGCTAAAAGTTGTTTTATTTCTAGCAATCAAATAATACAAATAAATATGCTTTTACATACATGTCACATATAATAAAACATATAGCAACAAAGAACAATGTCTTTCTCTGAGAGGGTTTTAGGGTAAGGAAATGTCAGCCGCACTGCCCCAATGCATGTTGGTGAACTTGACATGTTTTTGATTTTTCTCAATGTTTCCCTTGACCGCCGTGCTTGTGGTAAATCAGCACTTATGATTGCAATTAACAATCTCATTAGTGCCGGCAGGAAACAAACCAAAGTTGCTCGCATACTGTATTTAAATTTACAACGAGCGCTTAGCCCCTAATCTACTGTTTGACTAGTTAAAATATTTGAATATTTTAAGTTTTTTTTTTATAGAATATGGGTGACAAACGACCACACAATGCACCTGATGATAAGTAGATGCTGTGACCCATAGACATCTACATTTATCCCCGATTAAGTATCAAAATGCAGATGTGTTGCCACCCTTAAGGATTAAGATAGAATGCCTCATTTCCAGTAAAAAGGGTCTCAGGTTCTCTACACTCACCATACGAAACACAGCAGTTTTAAGCTGCTATTTTATACTGGTATTCTGAGACTGTACTTCTACCCTGGTCGACCTGACCCATTTGTGTTACAACCATATATAGCAAAAACTTACTTCATTAACTATAATATTTCTCTTCACATCTCGTAATATTTAAGGCTTAGCTTTCGGTTTAAAAGCACCGCGACCTATCATATCTACACACTTTTTTTCCGACGCCAATACTTGCTTCTTGAAATTGCTGGCATCTCTTAACCTAGTAATGCACACCTCACAGATCAACCTGTTGGGACCATTCGGGCCTTCATTGTGTTGAGATATCTGATTAAAAAAAGTTAAAATAAATAAAACAAGAAACTTGATTAGAAAACAATAAAATTAGTCACTTTATATATTTCAAGTGTATTAAGAAAAATGATTAAAAAGAAGTACTCAGACATGGCAAAATAAGACAAAAATAAGGGAATAAGTTTGTAGCATTTAGTAGACATATGCAAAATACATCGCTAAAATGAATAGAGATACATATCGTTTTAACCAAAACATATGTATCACTAGATTATTTAATTTAATACTTCTACTGATAGTTTTCATAAATTATAGTACATCGTTCTTGTATCTTATCTTTAGTATTAGTATTTCAGTAATACTTTAATTTTTAAAAACAACTAAATGTATCATAATACCGTGCAAACAATCTTTGGTCTAGTGGTCGTAAATGTTACTAATGACCTTGAAGTCCCAAGTCCCCATTTGGGCACAATAATACATACATACGTACATATAATCACGCCTCTTTCGCATAGGGGTAGGCAGAAACCACTTCTTTCCACTTGCTACGATCCTTACATACTTGTTTCGCTTTGTCCACTTTCATTATTCCCTTCATATATGCTCTACAGTTTAGGGTACTCTTGACCTGGCCTTTTTCAAGACGTCCCTGATTTGATCTTGAAACATCCGCCTAGGTGTACCCCTTCCAACACTTTCATTCACACTCGCCTTATACACTTTTTTTGTCAATCATTCTTCATTCATTCTCTCGACATGGCCAAACCATCTCAGCATACCTTTCTAAATTTTTGTCACTACATCTTCTTTCAGACCTTCCTTATCTCACTATTTCTTATCATGTCACTCAATATAACTCCTATCATACTTCTCGACATGGCACAATAATCCTGTCCTGCTTAAATGGCTAGGCTCTGTTGACATTGGCTGCTCTGACGAAAATCGATCCAGAGGGCAGAATATCACGAATTATTTTTATTTATGTATTATATTTTAATAGTAGTACAGTACCAGAGTAAGAACCAGTCTAATAGTAACTGAACTAGTTTATTTGCATCTTATGAATGTGAACTAGATCATTTGCATCTTATGTACGCGAACTAGTCATGTTCAGGACGACGCTCAGTATTAAAAGAAGTACTGTACAAGTTCTTAACATCTTTCAACAAATGTTACAAAATGCACAGCATTGTGTTTATATTACACCAAATTTTTATCATTAATATTTTAAAGTCAGTACTTTTATATATATTATTTTTAAATATAATAAAGAGATAAGGAGTTAACACTGCTATAATAGGTAAGTCTTTAAAACTCATAAACGAAAAGAGGAATCCAGTAAGAATAGTTTTGGCATTTATTGAAATTGGTCAATTTTGTAAACATGAATAAAAAAACATATCAAAGAATAATATATAAGAGTTTACTTTTTTTTTTTTTCTTTTTTATTTAAGGGACTTTCGTTATTATTAACATGTCAGTCCCATTGTACCTTATAACTAAATAGCACAAAAATACTTAATTACTTATACAATACTTAATAAATGATAAACCATTTGAGCAGCATCTGACAGTGGTTCAGAGAGTATACTTTGATATTCCCCTATGTTGTACATTTTAATGTCAGTTTTGGCGACCAGTAGTTTCCTTTCGTGATGGTTTTTAGATTTACACTTATACACTTATATCAAAACATTCCAATAACATATCAGCATAAATTTCTGTATCATCCATCCAAGTATATTCCGTACCCAAGTCTTTGTAACAACCTTCAGAAAGACAGCACCGGCATAGTCCCGGGCTCTCTTTCACAACGATCTCATCAAATTCCATTTTGGAATATTCCAAAATGGAATTTGAACTCATCATTTTTACTTATAAAATCCTCAATTCCATAATATTACAGTAAATCCCAAAGATTAAAGTTACAGCTTCCATCTATTTTCTATTCTATCAAGCTTGGCTTGACGCCATTTTATTTATAAAATTTAATTGAATTATTTTTTTTTTTTGAGTTTATGGCCTGGTATCTAGACCTTTAGGCCAAGTCTTGAGTATTTTTATTCGGTTTATTATAATTTCCCCACGGTATTTTTGATGAATTTATATAGAGGCTAAGCGTGTGTATCTCTTTACGGAAACGACTCACTGATACGAATCACTGAAGTGACACAAAATATTGGTTCAGTAACAATAAATAAATAAAATAAAAATTCCTTTATTTTCAAAAGTCTTATAACAAAGATTTGTCGAGTTTTCCCTTTAAGTAGTCATAGACACTTGTGTTGGGAATAACTCGCTACTTCCCTTACGGTATCCTCAATAAGACTATTAAACTATATTATATCTAGAAGCTTAGAATTATAGAAATGTGGGTTATTTATTGTGTATATATTTTAGTGTGTGTGTGTGTGTGTGTGTGTGTGTGTGTGAGAGTGTGTATGTGTGTGTGTGTGTGTTTATGTGTGCGTGTGTATGTCGGTCACCTGTAAGCCCTACGGATGAGGTTCCTTGGGATCGGTATGGCTATTCCGCATACAGGTACCGACATTAAGTTTAACCGGAGATTTAATTAATTCTTATAAAAAGTTTTTCAACATCTTCATAACTAAGTGAGTCCAACCATTCTATTAAAGTTTTCTTGCAAGTGTAAGATAACATGGGGTATATTTTAAGTATTTTATTTACTTTGTTGTATATATGGGCGGATTGACCTCTATATTGTCTTCTGGCAAAAGCAGTACGTACAGCAGTGACGGGGGCAACAACATCCTTCTTTCTTTTATGACTTAGGTCGACATAAGGCAAAGATTTGTGGCACGTTAAAATGAGATTCAGAACATAGAGTTTTCGTACTGTAAGTAGACCACTCATTCTATATAGTGTATCAGTGGGAAAACGGTAAGGTTTGGAGTAAATGACTTTGATAAGCGATCTCTGAGCTCTTTCAAGTGCAAGGAAGTGAGTTTTGTCAGCTCCTCCCCAAATCGATACAGTAGGTGAGCACCGATTGGGCCAGGGCAACATAGATTCGGTTTTTAAGTTTGTTGCACATAACCTTCCGTAATGATTTGAATACCCATATGAGTTTCCTAGTGCGGTTTGTTAAGAGTTCCAAATGTGAGTGCCAGCTAAGACGTTGGTCCAACATTATACCTAGATATTTAGTTTGGATGACTTTTTCAATAGTAGGGCAGTCACAAATCAGGTTACCAGGGTTAGAGCAAGTGTGGATTTTTATGGCAAAGTTACGGTCAGGTTGGGATTTGTTAGAAGGAGTGAAGCAGATGTAGTTGGTTTTCTGGGTGTTCAAGGTAAGAAGGTTGTCTCTGAGCCAATTAGATACATTGATTAAACCCTTTTCAGTACCTGCTTGGACAGTATTCCATGTGCTACCAGTAAAAACAAGAGCAGTGTCGTCCGCGTAGGAGTATATGCTGCCCCCGACATCCCGTAGATTACATAGATCATTTATGTATATTAAAAAGAGAGTCGGGCCCAGGACACTACCCTGCGGAACTGCAAAACTAGGCGTGGCTTTATCACTGAGTATATTATTTATTTTTACTTGCTGAGTTCGGTCTTGCAGGTAACTTTTAAAAAGCATGAGTGGAGTATCCCTAATACCTATGCATTCTAGCCTGTGTAAAAGAATAGGCACAGAGACGGTGTCGAAGGCCTTTTTTAAATCCAAAAAGACTGTAAGACATTTGCTGCCATTGTCTACTTCACGAACTATAGTAGAAGTGAGATCAAGAATCGCATCTTGAGTTGAAAGACCCTTTCTAAAATCATATTGGGAATTTGCTAGTAATTTAAATTTATTTAGGAAATTAACTAATCTATTGTTAAGCAGCTTTTCAATTATTTTGGAGATGGAGGTAAGGACAGAGATAGGCCTGTAATTGCTTACATCCTCTCTGTCCCCACTCTTATGCACAGGGGTTACCATAGACCTCTTTAAGACGCTGGGGAAAACACCAGTACTAAAGCAAAGGTTTGCGAGGTTACATATGTACGGTATAACAAAGGCTCTAGCATGCTTTAGAAAACTAGTGCTGATACCATCCCATCCAGGTGAGCTCCCAGAGTCCAGACTCATCAAGATGCTCTCGACTTCTTTTTCGTCAGTGTTTAGGAGGACGAAGGATGAGGTCTGTGTATAGTTAGAGATAGGGGGTACACGACTTCTAGTACCCGAATTTGTAGCAATTATTTCAGCTAAATTATTTCCTATACAAGCAAAATAATTATTGACATAGTTAACCGATTCTAGTGGTAGCGGTTTTAAGTTAATTAGGGCTACATTATTAGATTTGGGTGGTTTGTATCGAGTGATCTCATTTACTGTATTCCAAAATTTACGGGGGTTATTAGCAGATTTATTAAGAAGTTTGCCATAATGCTGTCGTTTAAGTTTTTTGATGAGGTTGGAACAGAAATTTCGAAAACGTTTATAAGTTATTATTATAATTGTATTATGGGGGTCTTTTTCTACCTTTTGTTGCAAATTATTTCTTAGCCTTATGCACCTCAGAGCTCCGGGGGTTATCCAGGGTTTTAATATCCATTTATTGTTAGAAAAATAGGATAATTTAGAGTTTTGTTGGATAGCTGACTTAATTATATTAATAAAAAAGTTGGCAAATTCTTCAGGGCTATTCGGCATTTCCGAAAAGGGGATACTCGTCGATATGAGAGTATTATACGCCCCATCAAAATCTATAATTAGCTTTGACTTAGTTGGAGATTTGTGGGTAGATGTTTTAGATAACTGAAGCAACACAAGATTGTGGTCTGTGATCGTCGTGTTAAGGACGGCAATAAAAGCTGCAATGTGGTTGACTTCAAGTTTTATCATTACGTGGTCGAGGCGGGATCTCCTTCTCGTAGGTAGAGTGTGACCAGGCAATAAGCCATGCAGGGATAGTGCGTCTAAGTAGCTGAGTCTATTACGGCGATACTGAGGCTTCTCTGTAGCTATGGGAAGCAGGTTAATGTTTATGTCACCTATGACAGACACATTTTTATGATGACTAATAGTTTCCAGATGTAAATCTAGAGAGCTAGTAAAACTATCGGCGTTTAGAAAAGAGGGGGAGCGGTATATACCCAGAAAAACATAGTTATCAATCTCTATTTGTATCCCAGTAGCGTCTGTGAGGTGAAGGTCAATAACTTTAGCTCGGTGATTGTTTTTTATATAAGCTACTACACCATCATTCTGGTTTAAAAGTTTAGTTGATTGGTAGGAAGTGTAATTATTTGAAAATGGTATTTGTTTGTTAGGGTCTAATCTGCATTCGGTCAGTATTAGCTCGTCAATTTCGAAGTCCAGTACTGATAGGGTAACCAAAAGGTCGTCGAAGTTCTTATAGATAGTAGCCATGTTTTGGGTTACAACAAATAGATTATTACGAGAGGAACCCAACCGATAGTAAATTAGATCTTCTATATTACATTTAATTGAGTGTGTTATATGCATACAGTCTAGTTCCTGGTTAGTGAGCTGGCTATCCATTAAAAAGAGAGTAATTACAAATTAAATAATTGCAGAGATTATTACATAGGGTGAGTGGAGATAAGTTTGTTAAAAACACTTGCAAGTATACAAGAGAATAGGTAGGATTCATCGATGAGAGTAGGTTGTTTACATTGTAGTCTGTAAGAGTGAATGTTTGTTGTCGTATGTTTTGTGCTTGTACTGTTGATGTAGCTTTATGTAAATGTGTATGTATCGAATTTGTGAGGTGTGAGCGTGTGATATTGTACATAGGTGTGTTTGGTTGTTGTAGTTTGTTTGCAGTTTTTGAGACCAGAGTTATAAGTGAGTAAATGAAAGTTGCGCTAACAGGAGATGTAAAGTTTACAGCAGTTGTCTTACCAGAAACAAGAGAATAATATGTATATTGGATGAAGCACAGAGAAGTTGCCACTGAGTTTTTTGAATATAGTCACTTTTGTTGAAGAAGTTGGTGCACCTGTGCCTCGCTCTGGATGCATATAATTTTAGATGTATCATCTTTTCTCACAAAAACTCTTCCAAACGCAGTCCAGCAGTATCTATACCCATTGGATTTGGCGAGATCCCGAGACAGGAAGAAAAGTCGGGCACCCTTAGCGGTGAGCTGCTCTGATACATAAACTGGCGTTTCCTCGCTCGTAGTAAAGCCTAGGTGTTTTGCTTGTAATTTGCATTTATTTTTGGTGTAAAATTCCTTAGACTTTTTTAGTAGTTCAGATTTCAAGATCGTGGATCCTAGTTCCAATATTATGGGGGGATTTTTCTCCCTGTCATTACGTGGCCTTATTCTGAAAATATCCTTAATATCCCGCGTGCACAAATCAAGGTTTATATTTTTCGATAGGCAAGTTATCATACTTATTAAATCATCCCTGTTCTCAAAGGGTTTACGAGGAACATTTTTTAACTCTAGACTTGCTTTGCGTGACGTCCTTTGGAGATCTTCAATTTTGTCTTCAAGTATATTTATGTACTCGCGATCCTTCTTTACTTGAGTTTCCAGTTTATCAATTTTCTTTTGGAATTCCTCATTTTGCAGAGTTAAGAGAGACACACACTGTTCAATGTTTGAAGTAGTTTGTTGGAGGGACTTAAGTGTGTTCGTGATTTCCATATGTGAGTTTTTTTGCTCACTAATAAATGACGTTATGAGTCTAGTCATCTCCTGTTTGAAATCAAGAAACTGGGAAGGTGAAAATTCATCCTCTCTTGGTCTTCTATTATTTCGAATTAAAACATAGCTGGAGGGGGTATGTTCATACTGTGTATCCATCAAGGTTTCAGCCTGAGGCCCCATACCATCGCTCAC